TAATATTTTCCATAAGATTATTGCCAAGATTATTGCTACTAGAATGAAACCTTATATGCACGATATCATTCATCACAGTCAAGCTGCTTTCATTTCCAATAGACTCTCCACAGACAACCCAATTCTAGCGGCTGAAATTGTTGGATTTTTTTCCAAGAGGCATTAGGATAAATTTTTTTTGTACAAAACTAGATATTAAAAAGGCTTTTGATACTATTTCAAGGGATTTTCTTTTTGCTAGGATGACCCAAATTGGTTTCATCCTATTTTTATCAATTGGATCAAAGCCTGCATCAAAGATACCTATTTCTCTATTTGTACTAAAGGGGGGCTACACGGATTTTTTAGTTCCTCTTTTGGTCTAAGGCAAGGGTGTCCCCTCAGTCCGTATCTCTTTTGTATTATTATGAATGCCCTCTCCTGTCTCATTGATGATTTCTCTCAACATGACTGCTTTGAAGGCCTCAAATTGGATAACTTCCAACTGTCTCATCTTACTTATGCAGACGATTTACTGGTTTTTGGGAAAGCTGAAATTAAAAACTGTGATAATCTCATGAGGATTTCGGAGCTCTTCTCCAATCTTGTTGTTTTTCACCTTAATCTCCAAAAGAGTTCTCTTCTCATTTCTCCTCTTGCCACTTTTTCCTCTTCCATCTCTCAAGCTCTTCACATACCTAACTGCTCCTCCAAAACCTCTTACTTGGGCACACCTATTTCTTTAGGTAGATCTAAGATCTCTAACTTCTCCCCTTTGATTGAAAAAGTTACTAACTTGCTTTCTGGTTGGAAAGCAAAGCTTCTTTCTTTTGCAGGTAGATTGCAATACATCAAGTATACCATTTCGAATTTGGTGGCTTATTGGATCCGGAGATCTATCATCCCTAAAACTATTTTGAAAGCTATTGGTAAAGCTAGTTCCAAGTTTTTATATCATGGTGACTCTAATTCTGCACTTAATCTCATGGAGTTCCACTTCTAAACCTCTCTCTAAGGGAGGCCTGAGCATTGCCTCTCTCCATGCTCTTAGATCTGCTTTTAATTGCGGCACCATTTTAAGACTTTACAACTCTAAATCCCCTTTATCTAGCTGGCTTAAAATTAGATACTCCTCACCTTGGAAACCTTGCCCTTCTCTTTGTTTGGGCTTTTGGAAAAGTATATGCTCTACTGCTGCTATGTTTAAAAGGAACTTTTGCTTTCAAGTCTCTCCAAATAGCCCTATTGACAGTTTTTGGGATCATTGGGTAGTGAATGACAGTATCTACTCTATGTTTCCCGGTCAAACTTCCTTTTCGGTTGCTGGATCTGATTGGTCCCTTGCGAACTGGATTTCTAATGGCTCTTGGTCTCTCCCTCTCTCCCTTAATACAAGTCTTAAAGATCTCATTTATTCAATTCCTATTTCTCACAGCAGCCCATATCATATTACTTGGGACAATAATGAGAATGCAACTTTCAAGTATTTTTACAATGAGTTTTTCTCTGAACTTGATGTTGACTGATTTTACTTAGCTTGGCACAAAAAAACATTCCATTGGATATTCTTCTTGAACCTGGATAGCTATTAATGGTGGTCTCAAAACTGTTGAAGCTCTGAGGTATATAAATATTAACATTGGGGACACTTATTGTCCTCTTTGTCATGGTCATTTGGAGAATACCTCTCACCTCCTGTTCGAGTGTGATTACTCTTTTCAAGTCATAACCAAGCTTATACTCCAATTTAATAACTTCTACTTGAGACCCAACATTGCCCAAGCTCTTCACTTCATTGATGGGGCTATCCATCAACCGGGACACTAAGAATGCTACTCTCCTTGTCTTTCACATTGCTATATATTTTATCTGGAATGAGCGTAATTCCATGAAATTTAATGGTAATGTTGTCTGTGTTACATCCTTAACGAAGAAAATCTCCATAGTCATATATATGAAGTTGGACAAATGGAAAAGTGGAAGTTTTTTAAAACAAAAGTTGCAATTGTGTTATTCATGGCTAATTCTTTTGGTCTATTGAATTATTTTCTGGATGGCTTTATTGCCTTGGTTTTTTGGAATACTAATTGGTTTTTTGGTTGGAAGCCTGCTGGGTCTAATTCTTCTGAATTTTTGTATTACCGCCTAGAGGTTATTGTTTTGGCTTGCTCCAAGCAAATCCGGGAGATTTTTTGGCTGATTATGAGGCATGATGAAAAACTTTATAAGGTTTGTTGGTGGCATCATGTTGCTGCCCGACTGGATTTTAGCTGGTTCATGTATATGGGCAGTAATCTTACAAGTTGGAGCTCTTTGCAGGCTTATTTTTGACCCGTTCGATACAGTCGAGGCTCTTTTTTGGCAATTTTTTGGGTCGTGGACGATGATGAAGCCTGCACTCTCCTTTTAGACGGTCTACGAGCAACTAAAGGAGGATTAGATTTATTCTATAATCGTATTAGCTATTTATGAGTCCCGACCATACAGATTATTTATGTCTGTTTTTTGGTTCTTCTCTTCTCCTTTGTAACTATTTTATAGCTTCTCTTCTTAGCCTGTTTTTGTTGGCTAAGCTCCTTTTTTTATTCAATTTTGTAATCCTTTTCTTTTAATAGAATGGGCTTTGCCCTTAATTTAGACTTGTTGTTACCTTGGGGTACATGTTACTTGAGTGGTTGAATGAAACAATAGATATGAGTGGAGCTCTTTATCCTCTTTCTTTTGGCTTGTAGTGGGGAGAAAAAAATGCGGGCAAATTTTAGAGCATGTGCCTAATGACATTTAGAAAAAGGAGCATATTTAATTAAAATTTTAAAAAGTAGCAAACAGGCGCATTACTAGAGAGAGAAAATGAGAGGAGAGAGGAGAGAGGAGAGAGGAGAGAGGAGAGTGGGAGAGGGAGAAGGGAGGCAGAAAGTGTGCGCGAGAAGAGAGAGAGAACATGCCATGCATTTTGGTGGGTTATATTAAATATTAATTATTTTTTAATATTATATAAATAATAATTAATATTTTAAAATTATTTATGTAATCTTATAAATATTTAAATTATATTAAATAGTAATTTTAAAAATTATTTTATAGAAAAAGTTAAAAATATAAAATATATTTAAAAGGATAATATCAAATTTTTATTATTTAAATTTGAACATTAGTTATATATTATTTTTGAATATCAAAAATTATTTTTAAATACTAATTTTATATTATCCTTTTTAAATATATTTAATATTTTTTAACATTTTTTATAAATAAATTTTAAAACTACTATTTAATATAATTTTTAGAATTATAATATTACATAAATAATTTAAATATTATAATAAAAATTTATTATTTAAATTAATTATGTTTTTTTTATTTAAAATATAATATTTATAAGAAATTAAAATTATTTAATTATTTTATTTATCTTTTAAAAAATTAATTAATTTTATATTTTAATAAATTGGTTTTTAAAAAATGAAAAAAAAATTAAAATTCTTATAAATACTTTATCTTTACTGCCCTCCCCTCTCTGCTCTCTCCTCTCTCATTTTCTCGAGCAATTATTAGGTCCTTTCACTGGATGTAGAGGAAGGTTCGGTTTTAGGCAAAAATAGGTCAAAAGTGCAAATACGATTTTTTTGAAAACTCGGTATTTTTTTCAAAAAACTCGGTATTTTGCACTTTTTTAGGCAAAACCGAACCTTCCTCTAGGTCCTTGCACCGGACCAAATAAAATTTCCATTTTCAGTTGTGAAACCGGACCGGGCAATGAACCGGTAGAGAGAGCGGTTCACGGTCGACCGTTGAACCGGTCGAACCGGGGTCGAACCGGATGACGTAATAAATACAATTAAATGATATAAAAATCATATAATAATATACTTTTTTATTAAAAATAAATTGAATGTCAAACATTATTAATATCTTATATAATTTTAAATTTAAACATATTCAAATTTTTAAATTTAATTTAAATTTAACAAAAAATTAACTTACAATAAATTAATAATTTAATATAAATAATCCTTAATTTATGTTATATTATTTATAATTTATAATTAGATTCATATTATTATCTTATATTTTTTATTATTGAGTAAATTAAATCATTTATTATAAATAATAAATTATTAATTTAATTTATGGTACATAAAAAATAATGAATAAAATTTATTTAATATTATTAATTAAAAAAATAAATATTATTTCATCATAAAAATATTATTTTAAAAATTATTTTAAAATGAATAGTCGTATGTTGTAAACTTAAAGCTAAGAAGAAACACATGAGCTTTAAATTTTTAGTCCCACTCTCTTGGGACTTTCCCTTGGTAAAGCTTTTACTATAATTTAGCTCTTGAGCTAGAAAGTAAGACTACACTTTCCCTTCATGAAATGCTGTGTTTGAATTTTTTAATTTAAAATTAAGCATCTCATATTTGAAATTTAATTACAAATATTTTTTTAATATTAAAAATAAGTTATTAAAATTAAATATTAAAAAATACAAAATTTGAACCGGCCGGTTCAAGAAGAACCGTGACCGCGTTCTCCGGTTCACCGGTTGAACCGGCGGTTTTGGACAAAATCGGCGGTTTGGAAGATAAGCCGGTTTTCGGGTTGAACCGAACGCCTTTGGACCGGTTCACGGTTGAACCGGTCGGACCGGCCGGTCCGGTCTGGTTTTTAAAGCATGTCCATTCCTTTCTAGTGAATGCGAGTATTTACATGACGTATTTGCTATTTTTTAAAATTTTAATTAAATATGTTCCTTTTTCTAAATGTCTTTAGCCACATGCTCTTCTTAAAGAAAATTTAGCCAAAAAAAATGCTACAGTTGAGCAGCATTTCGCGTGGGAGAAAGCAAAAGACAGGGATTATATATATATATATATATATATATATATAGTTTAAAACGAGCTTGTGAGGTTCAAGAGGAGAGGTGACGGAGCAGGAGCTTCTTCACGTGGGTAGGAATCTAACCGGGTGAAGGGCTCTATATAAAGAAAACTGGATCTGTGAGCAAGTGAGAAGATTAATTTGCTGAACTTCAAAGCAAGCGACGGGGAGGTACGGATTTGGCGTGAACGAAGGTTGAGGGAAGTGAGGTTGACGGGTGGAGTAGGCTCGGGTTGCTAGGCTTGTTCTGTGAGTTGAAGTGGAAATCGACACAGGAAAGGAGGCGAAAAGGAGTTGAAGTCGGACTCTGCAACTGAGAGGGAAAACGGACGGGAGTTCTTGTGTGGACGGGCTTCGGCAAAGTGACAGAGGGAAGTTGGAGGAGAAGTTGCGAATAATAGAGGGATGGCTTTTGATTCGTAAGTGCAGAAGGTGGAGACGAACGAAGAACCCCAAACAAAGCTTCTTTTGAGTCATTTTAACCATGGAACTTCATTCATCAGGGAGTGAATTATTTTGCGGGATATACGGACTGTGCCGACGTCGCTCAGCAGGGATATTTCAGCCTAATTCACGGGATTTAGGCACAGTTTCGAGAGGCGATACGAGGTAAAAATTAATTGTGATTTGTCATTTCATTTGACTTGTAAATAATAATTTTTTTTTAAAGTTATGTCATTATTAGAAAGATGATATATATATATATAGCAATATGAGCATGAGATGGCAATTATTTGTGATCTCCATTCATCAATCTCTTCCGAGAGAGATCGGATTGGGGCTCTTCGTAATTATCAAGTATCTTAGTGCCGCAAGCCTTGCCATTTCATTTGCTAGATTAAGCCACGAAATGTTTGAGTAGCCAAAGATCATTAACGTCTCGAGTGGAATAAAATCTAAATTGTTCCTCGACTACAAACAACAAAATAGATCCAATTTAATTGAGCAAGGAAACAAGCATCCATCTTTGATAGTTATCCCTGCCTCGAACCAATCCTTTAATGCCTTCAATTGGAAAATATAACCCCTCAAGCAATGGACAAACACGACATTCATCATTCCCATTGGATTTGCCTTCGAAACATTTCATTCTTGATCTAAAAAGGTGAAAGAATTTTCGTGCTCCAAGCTACTTGTCAATTTAATTTTCTCTAATTTAAGGCTCGGATTGGCATTGTCCATCCATATCGTAGATCTTGCACCCATGTATTTCTGTATACTCAAATTCCCTAGACATTTTGGTAGTTGAAAGTCGTCGAGCACGTTCTTGGCGAAATCAAAATTTCACTTCTCGGCTCATAATTTGGCACTGCAAGCCGCCTCAGCATCCTTCATATTTTGAAGAAGTTTTGATTCTTAACTGGCGAAGCTCATTCATATGCTCTAGCTCTACAATTCTAAAGTCATTCTCATTTTTAACATAAAATCCATCTAGTTGTTGAAGATAGTTTGGCTTTCCAATTTTATGCATTCCAGAAAAACCCTCCCAAGGCAATTGCATGTAATGTATATTTATAAGGTTATTCATGCCCCCTTGATAAGAAATTGCGATGAATAAACTGTCCAAATTCATAGATTATGAATTGCAAATGATATAGTTTGCTTAGAGATCCTAACAGTAAAGTTCGAAGAATATTCAAGTATTGAAGATGTGACAGATATCCACTTGCCTCAGGCATCATTTTTAGGCACGGAGCATTAATGTATCGCAAATGGATGCTTTTCGATACTTTGAAATTTTGAGCAAGTACCTCATCAAAATATGGCTCCTCTACTTTATAATATAAATAATGTGTACGCAATTTTTTTTTTTAATTTCCCAATCTTTTTTCTAGCACTTTTGAATTGCTAATATCAACAGACAAGTGTCGAATCATTTCAGAAATTTGACTCTTCATCTCGTGCAGAAACGAACTGCATGTGCCAACTCGCATAACAAATCATGCATTGGGCAATATGTTATGTACTAAAATCGAATCTTGTCAAAGAAAGATTTCTTGACTAAAACATCAAAATACCTTCCTCCAATATCCCCCACGGCCTCTCCTTGAATACAAGGTGGCAGAATGGAACCTGATGCTATCCACATTCGTACCATATCTTCTCTATCGAACCAATGATCTCGTGGGAATATACAACAAAATGTAAAACAAATTTGTAGATGCCTTGGGAGGACATACAGCTCAATCTTAAGATGGGAAATATGTCATTTTGACCCAATTCTTTGCAATCATTAATGCTACTGAGTCTATCCGAGTTATTACCAAAATTTTACTTCCCAAACTTTTACAAGATGGAGGGCGCGAGCACACTTTCCCGTTTATTTTTATGCCTTTTCTCCTTCTTACCTCGAATGTCATCGAGGACTAGCAAGAACCTTTTGGATATCACCTCCTACTTAAGTTTCATTTTAGGATCAAATTCCTTTGTCACTTCATCTTTATAAACATGTTGCAAAAGAGTTGTCTTTCCCATACCACCATCCCCCACTATAGATAGAAGATAAATGTTTTATGTACAAATCTGTTCCATTAACAAGAAATTGATGCTCCATATTTGAGAAATCTGTTCCATTAACAAGAAATTGATGCTCCATATTTGATTTCTTTCTCAACCACCGCATAGCAAAAAGAAAATCAAATTGCAATTCACATTCGAGCTGAATCATCTTTATCAAATTTATGATTTTTTTTTTTAGTTGTAAGGGTCAACAAAGTTCTATTTAACATTCAGGTTCTAGGTATACTAATGCACATATGAATGTAGAATGCACTTGTACTTATTCCTCTTATAACTTTCAATCTTTCACCTCCCACCTATGCAAGACAGGCGCAAAGCAGAATCAGAACATAATAAAACTTCCAATTCAAAGCCTTAACAAAATAATCTAGTACATAATATTTGTTCCTTGGGCCCAAGTTGATAATTTAAAAATGCCTTTCTTTTCAATTCATAAACTCCAAAATGTCATGAATTGCATTATAATGCATATGCAACATGAAATTAAAACTCTTTTTACAATAAATAATATCATATACTAATTTGTATAGAAAATCCTCATGTTTTAGTTGCCAACTCAAATTGCTCAAAATTTTATCAAATTCACAGAGATTGTGTAAAATGCTAAATTAACATAAATTATCAATTATATCGAAGTTCATAAATGTTCTAATTTTTCAGAATAAATAAAAATTCATGTAAAGCAAATTGATAGGTGAAATTTTGAATTCTTATCGTCAAAATGTCTAGAACAGATAGTAAAAATATATATTAAAAGTTACACGGTAAAATATTTTAAAACATAAGAAAAACACTTTGAAAAATATATCCTTCGTTCTATACTTTGAAATTTAAATTAGAAATAGGGTATGGGTAGTTTTCCTTGCTCCCAATAATTTTCCTTACTGGCTGAGCCGGATAAAAATCAAATTTTAGACTCCAAATCCTCTCTTTTTTCCTTTTGTTTTCTTACTTTCCTCTCCTTGCTTCCTCGCAAGTTGTTGGGTGTTTGGGCTTAAGTTAGTGAATTTAGATATTTATTATTTTAAAAATCACTACTTCGACCTAATGCCACACCATCACTAATTAAACTCTCAAACTCTCCAAAACTTCTTTGACTCCATCCCCAACACCATTACAACACCACCAAGCCGCAAAAGTTCCCTCAAAACCTTCTTTTCCTCATTTTCCCAAAAACGCAGCGCTGCAGCGCTCATAGAGAAAAAAATCTGACTTTTGATTTTCCACCTTGTCAACCCACATTTCCTTATTCGTTTATACTTCATTAACCTAAATTATACTCACAACTACTAAATTAGCTAAAATTATAGTTATGAACAAATAATTACATGGATTTCAGACGATAGATATTGCATGACCTATGTGGCCCGACTATGGCCCTTCCAACCACTTTTGTCTGTTTATGATCTCTCCAAAATCAGTCGCCTGACTACTGTTGCTCAAATCATCATCACCCTATATTAGAATACAATAATACATAAATCTTGTATTAAATAAATATTGTTGAGGTGTCATATAGCTACTGGTTCTCAAGAACTCAGCCTCTCTTTAGGTCTATATATACTGATGTAATCTATCCATCTGTGTAATGAAAATCCATTAGTTTTCTTCTCTGTCTCTCTTTGGTTCGTGTTCCTATTTCCTCTTTCTTGTCTACGGTTTCTACATGGTATTAGAGGCTTGGTAAGACGAACCAAGCTTGAGTTCGGCAAACTCTCATCCTGGCGAACAAAAAGTTTTCATGACTCAACCAAAAGGATTTGAAGACACAAATCATCTAGACTATGTTTGTCACCTTCACAAAGCAATCTACAGATTGAAACAAGCACCTCGTCAATGGTACAACACATTCACCGATTACTTGATCTCCATTGGCTTCAATTCCAGCTCAGCAGATCCTTCGCTTCTAGTTCTTAATCAACAGAATGCTCAAATCTATCTACTTGTGTATGTCGATGACATACTCATCCCTGGATGCAACCAAGAAGCTATTGTTGATATAATAAACAAGCTCGGTCTAAACTTCTCTATGAAGCATCTCGGGCCTATCCATGATTTTTTGGGCATCAAAATTGATAAACATGACGACTTGTATTTCCTATCGCAACGAAAGCATGCGATCTAACTTCTACAATAAGCTGAGCTAACTTAATGCAACCTGGTTGTCAATCCAACGTGCACAAAAATTCCGATCAATCCAAAGACTGATCTAAAGTTCTCGGAACCCTTTTTCTACTGTCGTATCACAGGATCTCTACAATACTTAACCCTCACCAGACCGGACATTGCATATAGTGTAAATCAGCTATCTCAACATATGCACAATCCTCAACAGTAGCATATCTACGTGCCCAAGAAACTCCTCCCCTATATTAAAGGTATGATCGATTTTGGAATTCTCATTACCAAAACTAATCTTGTTCTCAAATCATTTTTAGATGCTAACTGGGCAAGGGATCCTACATCTCGCAAATCTACATCAGGGTTTTGTTCATTCCTCAGCAACACAATAATCTCCTAGACGGTCAAGAAGCAACAAATCGTTGCAAGATCATCAACAGAGTCGGAATATCGTGCTCTGGCAGCTCTCACATCCGACATCATCTAGCTTAGACGACTTCTATCAGACTTTGGCATCCCTCAAAACAACCCAACTGACATGTTTTGTGACAACACTTCAACAATTGCATTGGCCAACAACCCGATATTCCATGCTATAACCAAGCACATCGAGATAGATCAGAAATTCATTCGAGGTCATTTGCAACAAAACAATATTCGTGTGCTACCTATTAGCACAGTCGACCAAATCACATATATCTTCACAAAAGCACTATCTATACCTCAATTTACAAAGCTTCGATCCAAACTAACAGTCTCTCAAGACCCATCAGTTTGCAGGGGCATATATACTGATGTAATCTATCCATCTGTGTAATGAAAATCCATTAGTTTTCTTCTCTATCTCTATTTGGTTCGTGTTCCTGTTTCCTCTTTCTTGTCTATGGTTTCTACGCCCTACTATGGTTCCTCCAACGATTGTCACCCAACTACAATCCCTCTAACCTCTATCACTCAACTATGATCCCTCTAACTTGCATCACCCAACTATGTTCTCTATGATCACTGTCGCTTGTCTATGGTTCCTCCTTCCTCAGTTGCCCGATTACGATCCTCCGACCATCGACCCCTCAACTACAGTCTTACCAACTGAACAAACAAGCCAATGATCTATTGAAAATAGTTGCCATACCAATGAATTATTCCAACTCCAACAATATAATGTTCTTTATATGATGTATGTTTGTTACATTGTGTCGACACCTTCCCCCGAGGAAGGGCATAATTTGTAATTAATGAAAAACATTAGTCATTTCAACTATGCGAGGCCTCGTGTGACTTTTTCACTTTTCAGGATTCTCCATTAAAAAAAAAAATCTAATATCTCTTATGACACTTGCACCCCTCTCTTATATGTTTGTGTATAGCATCTTTGTACAAAACTAGGACGTTAAACTCTCTATACCTCTCTATGGCCACGAATGTTCTCACACACAATAGAAGTATATACTCTCTCCATGTATTCTTTTGAAATTTAGTAGAATGTTTGATCTTTGTGCATTCATGAATGTATGTGAATCTCATCAAACAACAAATTTGTCTTAGATTTTGATGCGGAGCATTATAACATCAGAGCTACCATCTTGTTCAGGCAGAACAAGTTATCTTTGCTGCTTTAGTTAGTTAGAGGAGCGTGCCACCTCCACTGACAGTTCTAATTTTAATGCCTTAGCACATGTTTTTACTTTAGTTGCTTTTACCATTTTAGTCCTGAGTTTTTGTGGCATTCTAATACTCGGTTCCTGTAAAGGATTCCTTAGTTTTTGCAGTTATCAATATACAAGCTGAACTCTGCAACCTTGCAAGTTCTTACTGTTCCATTGTTTCACTGTTTGTTTGTGCCTCTATCATTCGATCCTACATCAATATTGAGATCTTTAATGTGTTTATTCTCTTGTATTCATTTTATTTTTGCTCATAATTTTTTGACCATGATATCAACTAGTATTAGAGCCTTGGTCGAAATTGCCTTTAGATATGAGCTTATTAGATGAAGACAAAAAGTTCAAAATTGACAAATTTGATGACTATAACGTCGGCTTACCATAAGTAACATATAAAATATGCTTTTAAAGTTAAGTGTAAGTATATTATCAAGTATTGGTGTATTATATGTCCCAACCTTTTTAATGTAAAATTATAGGAGTTTCAACGATTTTTTTTTCTCTGTATTAATTTATAAAATCATTATTAATTTTTGAATGCACTTATGGATTGCTATTTGCTTTGAGAAAATTGATTGGTCTGCCATTTATAAATAATTTCAGGATTAATTTTTAAAATTACTTAATTTTTGTTTCAAATAGAATTTGTTTGAAACAGTTTTTTTAACTATTTTATATCAAGCAGTAATAATAATTTTATTTGGATTATAATATTTTCTTACACTGTTTTTCATAGGTAAAATAATTTTTATAATCATAATAATAAAATTATTTTTTTCAGAATTATTTTAAAATTAATTTTATAAAAGCTGCCACTTAATTAAAAAACACAAGTTGAAGATATTTAAAAAAAACAAAAATAAAAAATGAATACATTGACAGGAACTGATACATACTTTTTTTAAAAAATCTAATGATAAATCATTAAATATATTACCGAAATGCAACAAAACCTTCGCCATTTGTCGTCGAATTAATTGATCATACAAAATATTACGAAAGATTCTGCCAAAAAAATAAATAAATTATGATTGCCACATTAGCATGAGCAGCTAACTAATGAAAGGACGTGTGATGGTCGTCGAATTAATTATGCTGGTGGCTTTAACAGTCTTAAAAGAATTTTTTTTATTTTTTAATTTATCACTCAATATTTTATTTTATTTTTAATTTATCCTGTAGCTTAGCTGAACGATGTTCTCTGGTGCCTAGTATTTGAAGCTAAATTTAGCTCAAATTTAATCCTGTGGCTTTAACCCCAAATAAGTACTTCAAAAGAATTGCTCTTAGAGGGTGAGTATCCTCATTACAACCCTATTGCTACATGTGAAGACATTTATGAGTATACACCTAAGATTTGGTGTTGTAATGAATGTATGAAAAATTTTAATGGCTTTTATATGTTATGGGCTATCTGACATATTTATAATATTCATTGAATTCTCAATGGGAAATAAGGCTAATAATATGATGTCGGTCAAATATAATATAGGTCCAAGTAGTTTATTAATATTGGACCCGATTTAAAAATTCTTGAGAAACCCAACCTAAAATATCTAGATTTGAATCAACTTATAATATTTGAGACAGATTAAGGTCAGCATAAGTGACTAAAAAAATAGCTAATTTACATATATAGGTATTTTATCTGAGTTATTATGTCCAAAAATGAGTTATCCTGTTGATTTTAGATTGAGTTTGCACTAACGCACAGAACTTGAATATGATCATAATCTCTGAACCCAAATTAACACCTCTAAGTTCTTGTAATGTAAATTTAATTAGGTACCTTCCCCTCTCTCTGAATCCCCGAAGCTAGTTTTGGCGTTTGGCGATTAAAATAATCATTTTATTTCTTAATTATATTCAGCTCTGAGTTATTATGCAAAATGCCTGTTTTTCTCCTGCTCACATTTCGACTCTGCTTCTTCTCTACAAAGCCATGTCTATGAGCTTCATCCTTCACGAAATACAATTACTTGTCATCTTTAATCTCTGTGTATTCCTTCATTATAATTATCTGCATGCAAGCAGAATCACTCATCTTCCAGGCTTCAATGGCACCCTTCCCTTCTATCTTGAAACAGAGTAAGAATTTCACCTAATATATATATTTTTTTAACCAAATCTATATGATTTTAATCTAATATGTTTATATTACTCTTATGTTGAGGCAGCTATGTGACCGTGGATGCAGAGAGTGGTGCAGAACTTTTCTACTACTTTGTAGAGTCTGAGAGGAGTCCCAGTGACGATCCGCTTGTCCTTTGGCTTGTTGGTGGACCTTATTGCTCTGGTTTCGCTGGCTTGGCCTTAGAGATTGGTGATCGATTACTACTCTATTTATATTGTTTTTTTTTTTTTTTTCTTAAGGAGACGGCACATAAGAATTTTGTCAAGTCTTGGAGATGATGAGATTTGAGCACTCTTTCATGCTTATGTTCCCAACTGTTCTGACTGTGATCATTGCATTCTAATCAGGAATTCCTGGCTTGTTTTGTCATTCTTTAGGTTCTTTTATTCCTCAAGTATCAAATAATAGTGTTCCTACGCAGCTTATCTTGGTATGTTGGTTGGGAACTTAGGCTATCAACTAAGAGGTCTTGTCGTCTTGGGTTTGAGTCTTGTGTATGAAATGTGTATGTGAGTCTGCTTTAATTGACCTAAATGTCCCAAAAAAATTATATATGCAGTGTTCTTTTGTTTGGTATCATTTAAAAAAAATTATCTTCTTGACTGAGGCAAAATTTACGAGACTAACCCATATATGATTTATTATCTTAGATTGAGGGACTTGTATATGATTTTGGAAAATTACAAAATTTGGTTCTCTTTTTGAATTTATACCCAAGATTTGTAAATTTTGGTCAATGTTTGAATGAATGAAACATTTCCAAGTGACGATCATAAATCACAGATATATGATATCTTCTATTTTTATGAACTTGTATGCAGGACCTCTCAAGTTTAATGTTAAAGCATATGATGGTAAATTGCCTACTTTATTATCCAATCCTTATTCCTGGACAAAGGTGGCTGATTAAGAACTAAATGAATCCATTTTCCTTATATTCATGCCAAATGTATAGTTTTCCTTAAGAAAAACATTTTGGATTATCAGATTTCCAGCATCATCTTTTTGGATTGGCCTGTCGGGACAGGATTCTCATTCTCAACAAGTATGACGGATTATATCACTGATGAAGTACTATCCACAAAACAAATCTATGAATTTCTTATGAAGGTAAGATGAAGACTGACAATTACAATATCCTTTTATGTATGTGTGTTATTGATCCTCTAAAACTATTTTGTGTTAATCAATGATACTGTGTACATATTTGAAGTTTTCTGCTATAATGCAGTGGTTGCTTGGTCATCCGAGTTTTCAGTCAAATCATTTTTATGTTGGTGGTGATTCATATGGAGGGAAGATGACCCCTTTGCTTGCTCAACTGATAGTAAAAAGTAATTATTTTTCATATTTTGACACGTATGTTATTTAAAAATTCATTTAAAAGTGCACAATTTTGTAAAGGAATTGTTAATTATATGTAATGGATCATAGGTAATGAAGATGTTCAACAACCTTTTGTTAATCTAAAGGTATCTCCTTTAGCTAGTTATCTAAACTTTGGCACAAATATAATTGTAGTAAATTCTCTTTAAAATTAAGTTGATAAAGTTCAAAACTTTTCCCCCCATTTTTAGAAGGTTGAGAATTTTGTTGATTCTTTATAATGTTTTTAGGGTTATTTAGTAGGAAACCCTGTAACAGGTGAAAGGATCGACATAAGCTCGCAAGTTCCTCATGCTCATGGATTGGGAATAATTTCAGATGAACTTTTCAAGGTTTATAAATCTTTATTTTATTGCAAAGCCCTATTTAGTGTATTGGGAACTTCAATGCATTGCCAGTAACAAAAAAAAAAAAAAAAAAAAAAAAAAAAAAAGTAAAGGATGTTATGAGCTAAATCCAACTTAGGATGTAGGGCACTTGATCTTGCGTTGGTAGATAATTTTTAAATTTATGAGATAATATTGTATCTTATGAAAAATAATTATTTATAGCTATCTTTGTCATTTCTTTGTAAAATAAAGAGGATATCTTGTAACTGGTATATATATATATATATATGATTCTCTTATGGCATGGATATATATATATATATATATATGATTCTCTTATGGCATGGATATATATATATATATATATATGATTCTCTTATGGCATGGATGTTGCTAAACTCATATTCATACATTCGCTTAGTTTCTTTCAGAGATCAACATATATAATATATTGGAGCCTAAATGTGCTGATGAACCTCTAGAACCAAAAGAATTGTATGAAGCTAGCAAGTCAATTAAAGGAAAGTCTTTGGAATTTCATTGTTCATCATCTGTTCTATATATTGATTGTTCAGTTAAGTCATTTGTATTAATTTGATATTCGTTTCTTTTTACATAACCAACAGGATTTATTGACGATTGAAATACTACTATATTTTGTAGAATGCGGTTCTTCTTTCCTATTATTGGTCAAATGATGATCTCACTAAAGAAGCCCTTAACATTAAGAAGGTAAATTGATTGCTTAAGAGTTACTTTTGTTGGGAAAATAATGCTACTCTAAGAAAAAAATTTGACCAAATGTAGTTAAGTTAACCCAAAAAAAATTTTTTTTGATATTATAAGTAGTGGTAAAATAGTAAATTCATTTCATCAAAGTATGAACAAAAAAAATTAATTTAAAAAATCATAGTTTTTTGCATTTCACATAGTTGAATGGAAGAACACTCACCCTATATAAATCTTTATGTTTCACTAACTCCATTCAATGTTACTGATAAAAAATATGCAGGGAACCGTGGAAGAATGGCATCGTTGCAGGGAAGACTTAAATAATTACACATATAACATACCAAGTTCTGAACCTTATCATCTCAATCTGACAAGTAGAGGATATCGAGCTCTAGTTTATAGGTGAAGCAAATCATTAGCATGCAATTGTTTGCTTTATAATTCCAGACAGCCAAAAGTTTTCTGATTTGTATGAACTTATGGATGAAATAGCGGAGATCATGATCTCGATGTACCATTCATAAGCACATTGGAGTGGATAAGATCCCTCAATTACTCTATCATTGATGATTGGCGTTCATGGTATGCAGTCGGCCAAGTTGCAGGGTGAGCATTTCCTTCATTAGTGTGGAAAATTTATTTTTCACTCTCCTTTTTCAGCATATTAATATTAATAAATATCAATCGATCATAAAGTTTCGCTTAGCTCGATCAACAGTCGTTTCATTTGCTTGCTCATCAGGTACACTATGCTGTTCTCAAACAATCTGACATTTGCAACTGTGAAGGCAAGAAACTTTTCCTTTGTTATTTGACTATTTCTGTATAAAACTGCAGAGTTTTTACTCATTTGCATGGTTGCAGGGTGGAAGTCATACAGCTCCAGATAATAGGCCTTTGCAATGCTTCGTTATGTTTGAGAGCTGGATTTCTCATAATGTTCTATGATTAATCTGACTTGAACAAACTAAAATGGGGCTTATTTTTAATCTTTTGAAACTGAGAGATATTAAAGACCGGATATGCAGAAGTTAGCAAACTTTTTTTATAAGGATATTTATTATATTATCTTATTTAAATGATGATCACATCAGATTAATAATATATACTGAGAACATCATAAATAAAAATAGAAATTTTATGTGATTCTGTCTGTGAGATCTACCTCGGAGAGAAAAATATTCATCAGTTCAAAATAAATGCACATTTGTAGCTATTGTGCTCACGGCCTCTCATTGACCTCTTTTTGAGGAACAATTATTACGTCCTCTGACCTGATGTAGAGGTAGGAGCGTACGTTCACCGGACCAAATAAAAGTTCTTTTTTGAGAGCTCAGCATCTATTGACAGATAGTTTGTTAGCTGTAAAAAAAAAAAAAAACCAAGCTCCCAAATAACTCACCTTTAATTAGCGCTTAAGAGAATATGAGTCTTAAAATTGGTAAAGTATATATTGTCACTCCCAAAAAGGTTCTTTAAATTAGTCTTCATCATCCTTTATTTATAAGATTTAGAGGGTTGTATAAAATGTTACACAGAAAAAAGGTCAAAAGATACAACGATACACAGAATACTCGTACAATGCTATACACTATCTCAAACACATGTTGGCCCATGCTTGGCTGAAGAAGGGCAAGGTCGGAAGGCTTCAATGAGTAGTCTATGGGGGAGCTTTATTATGCCGAGTAGATGAGAGCGAGTGTGCTCGGGCGAGTCTACAAGTGAGTATTGAGATGAAAAGGGAACTAGTGACTGGGGACTTAGTTGATATTGTAACATCTATTGTGTGTGATTAATTTAATTTTGTGTAAATCCTTACCTATTTTTGTTTAACAATGAAGTTTAAATTAATTTCTCTTGGGAGTAACTTGGAATATTGTTCTGTTTGGGAGGAGAAATGGAGGGGGTGCTACGGCACCAGGGAATGTCGTCGCGATGCCAAGCTCTCTGTTTGATTTTTTCTTAGGGGAATCTGGAATGTTTGATTTTTTCTTAGGGGAATCTGGAATATTCATCTGGGTGCTAGACTAAGGTTAGTGTTTTAAAATAATAAAATATATAAATTATTTGCAAAAATCTCATTCCTTAGCCACTTTGCTGGAGAAGAGAGGAGAAAAAGGTGGAGAAGAGAGGAGAGAGAAAGGAAGAGAGGGATATTGGAGGCCAAAATTTAGGATTCATCCGTCGAGCATGTTCAGGATACTTTAGAGCACGAGGTAAACTTATAAACTCTTATCTATGATTTCAATTTCAATCATTTTATAAAAAGTTATGAATAAAAATATTTTTTTTTTTTTCAGATTTTATGAAATTTTCACTATATAACAGAAGTCTACATGCGAAGTTCTAACTTCGCATGTGGACATCTGATTTGCATATTGATATATGTGATGGGCTAGATAAAGAAGTCTACTAAGTTGGTTGTGTTCATTTTGTAAATTTTTTAATATTTCAGAAAAAAAGAAAAGGCCTATTGGAGTCGAAAGTGTAGAAATAGGATCTTCTAAGTCTTAGTAGACTGAGATACCTTTTTGTAATCCAGTTCTAATTATATTGATGTATAGAATTTCTTAAAATTAATGTATATAGATTTTAATGAAATGAAATGTCTTTGTATTGTTTTTTACTATTTAGATTTTATAGTAGCTCTAGTTGTTTTAGTTGATGTTTCATTAATAATTATAGGGATTAGATTTTCAATCATTCCATTTGATCCTAAGATGTCACATATGTGGCCGGCAACCTCTTTGAAACCTTTAAGATCAACTTGAGAATATAAACGCAAATTAGATGTTATCTCAAGAAGAGAAAGCTCTGGCTCGAATGATCATGGTGAGTCAAATTGAGGGGTCCCATAAATCAGATTCTTCATGTACTTGAGTATGGTGAGAATGGTCGCTTTAGAAGAGAGTGGATGAAAGGGATGTGATCCAAGCATATGACGAGTGTCAAACTGCTAGTTCTGCAAAGGAATCCTCAATATGTCATGTGCAAGGTTAGTACATGGGTGAGTTCTTCTACAAGTTCATAGTGAATTACATAAGTGGGCCCCCTCTGAGAGGTGAGTTCCTATATCGTGACCCCCTAATAAACACCTATGAGGACATATGCAAGTATACACCTCTACCATGTTAGTCTAGTCAAGACAAAACTCTCTCTAAAGAAGGCCTCAACAAATCCCATTACTCCCTCAACTTCATGGTCACTCTTAACAGGAGTGGAGTTTAGGTGTTTGGAAAGATGGGTGTGGACAAATAAATGTGTCACTTATTAGCTTTAATATTTTTTTAGTTAAATCTACATTGCTAGCATTATAATACTTTGAGAGATAGATTAATGCTTCGCTATAGGCTTGAAAAGAGAAACATACTTTATTTTCATAATCAAACTTAGCATAGGAAATGTAAAATTCATATCAATGGATAAAATTCACATCACCTATCATTTTGAAAATTAAATTAACTAAGGATTAGCTTAGTGTGTGTTCAGATATTTTTCCCTTACTTTAGAAAACTAAAGTAATGTTTATTTTAATTCTAGGTTCTAGACTACTTATAGAGGCAAGCATCTATAGTTAATTACATCTCCGAAAAGAAAACTCTTGATTAAAGTGAGAATTATAGTTTTAATTATATAAAGATTTGATTGAAATTTGTGTTTGAAAATCTAGAGATTTATTTATATATTTTTTAAAGAAGAAACTTAGGCTTTTATAATTTAATTAGAATTTAGAGAAGAAATTGGGTGTATAATATGAACTTATATCTATTTGGAGTGGACAACCATAAGCTATTCTAAACACAATCAATTGCCTTATGAATGCAAGATATGATGATTCTATTTCTAATAGAAACAAGGATGTTTAGTTTAGAAAGTTTAATCAATACTCTTTAATATGCAACAACATCTAACTAACATCATGTATGATGTATGAAACGATGTATAAATAAACTTTTTATTCATTTATTTGAAATGAAAAGAAAACTCATGATTAGCTCTAAAAGTAAGGTGGTCAAGATCTACCATAATGGCTTTGATCGATTTCTACTCATATGAATGAAGTAGGTTTTAAATATGATTGTTTACTTTAGACTTTATATCATCTCACTCTAGATCTTCTATAGAATTCTAAAAGAGAATGCTCTCAAAGGAAGATGGGTCATTATCTTTTGGAGCCCTATGTAAGTGTAAGCAAACATCTTTAAATCTCTTATAACTTTTGAATTTTATAACTCAGCCAACATAACAGTTTTAAAGTTGAGATACATGCTAAATAGAGATAAGGAAGATCACTAAAGATCATTAGAAAGTCCCAATAATGAGGTAAGTCTAACAAGGATCATTAATAGCTAATTAGAACTACCTTTAAGATAATGAAAACATTTGAGCTCTGTAGGATCTGCCATTTATTCCCATAGTTATGCTCCATATATCTAGCATAACATCAAGAAATGAATATTCAAAACACCATAAATCTGTAGCGATTGTTTTGAAACCTAGAGCCATGCGATTTCCTTTGTTGAAAGTCGCCTTTCGGTAGAAAGTGGGATTAGCTACAAGTTCTTGCGCAAATAGAAATTCTTGATCTCAAAACCTAAATAAGCCCCAATATTTTTAATTATGGTCCATGGAAACTCTGGTTATATCAATAGACTTTTGGAAAAACTCATTACATTTTCTTCATTAGAAACACAATTGAAAGAGGTTTTTTCTTCAATAGCCCTGGTATGTTATCTTAGATCTATCTCATTTCTCATTTCCTTCTTAAACTTTAGATATTATCTAATTGCATTGTTCTTTTAAAATTCGAACTATATTATAATAGCTAGCTTGAAGTCTACTAGTTATTATTTCATTGTATGGTGCTTAATCGTTTGCCTTTTTCATGATAAATAAAAATCATATGAACTTTTTCAATTCTTCATTAACTAAGTAAAGCAATAACCCATTTTCATAGTGAATCCTTCATTTCATGAAACCTTTCCTGAAACCCATATATTACATTAACTTTAAATCTTCCGCTGAATTGTGTTCTCTAAAGCGAATTGATACCTAACATGTGGATTTTGTCCTTTTTGTAGTTTTTTATCAAATCATGCATGGTATGACAATCTAGAATGCAAAAGTAAATAAACGTTACAAAGGAATATCCTCAGCACAAAGGCAACCACATACACTAAAAATGCTATCGGCTTAGCCTAAGATAGAGTTAGTTGTCCTTAACAAACATCATAAGGTTGAATGAATATGTGATGTATGGCTTTAATATGTCATCAACGGATTTTTTATTAAGTTGTTTGATTTGAAGTTATTGTGATTATTAGATCAAAAGAGAATTTTAATTTAGAATCTTCATGTTTTAATTATTTAGAATTTTATTAATTAATTTTTAGAGTGTTTTATTTATTTAAGTTATTTATTTTTAGGTTTTAAAGAACAATACTAGTTAATGACTTTAAAGGGAAGAAGTCATTAGCGGCCAAGTACTAAGGCTCATAATTGTAATACATTCATTCCCTCATATGGGATAGATAGAATGATTGCCATAGAGTTCTTAAATTTTACTAACCAATTTTTAGGTGATTTATTAATAATTATTTTTAAATACATATTAATTATTAATACTCCAAATTACTTATTAAATATCTAAACAAATATCTCTTAAGGCCCTAATTTATGTAATTGTGCCCTCCAAGGAATCAAACACAATACTTAGAGTTTTCCATTTATTAAAGACCTGTAAATATAATGCATTTGTCTTCTTCAATGGAATCAAATATAATGCACAGAGGTCTTTGTTACTTATCATATGATTTATTAAAAAAATATTTAATTATTAATTTATTTAATTAAATTGAATTTAGTCTTGTTGTATTATTAAATTTTATTTAAATTAACATCAATTAAATTTCTATTTAATATTCTTATTTTATTTATTTATTTAAAATTTTAATTAATTTTAATTAATTTTTTTATTACTTGATTTTATAGAAAAATTATTTTTATTTAATTCTTTGTGATTTTTCTTCTATATATGTGATTTTAATTTATTTAGTTTTTATCTTTAATTTTCTTTAATTCAATTTAATTTATATTTATTTCTT